TCCTCCAGGCTTAAAGTTGCCAAGGTTGGAGACCCCTGTACTAAAGGATGAACGTTGCCGCAGCAGTTAACATTTTCATCAAATCTTCATAGACCGAACAAGCACATCCTGATTCCAGACGGTGAAGAAAGAAATGATGAAGATGCCGGCATAGTTGACAGAGACTTGGACGGACAAGAGCTAAAGCAAAACAAAAAACAAAAACGAGAAGGAACCAGGCAGCGCCCGTCTCTCTTCACGCTCTCACACGTCCCCGGAGAGCGCGCGCACTGAGGGCGGAGTTCTCCTCGAAGAGCTGCTGAAGCCAGCGCCGGCGGCTTTCCAAAATGATGGCTCTTACCGGCGACATCCTCTAAGGGGCGCTGTGGCGTTGGCTCTTCCAGGAGGCGCTGCAACCTGTCTCCGCTCAGCGCGCTCAGCACCGTCTCGGGAGGAAGAGCTACGAACTTCTCCCAGAGCCCCCTCGTGTAGAACTCCACCGTGTGGGTCTGGCACAGCGGAAGTCCCCACCGGAGGAACTCTGCGACTGCCCGCAGTCGCTCGTTTACTGTCTCCGCGGAAGGCTCCGGAGGCAAGGGGTAATTCTCCCGGGAGGCGGCCGGCGAGGGCTCCCGAGGACACCTCGACATGATGAGCCCCGCACAGAAGCCGCGAGCCAATCACCGAAGAGAAAACGCCGGGAAGGAGTACCGATAGCTCAGCATCGATGGGGCCTGGTTTTCGCCGCCCGTCCCCCCCACCTACAACGTGCGCGAGTTTTCTTCCCAGGCAAAGGGAATCGAGTGCCGAGCAAAGCTATTTCTACGTTGTTCCCAATCGGATACCCCTGCAGCCGAAGAGACGACGGTGACACCTATTGATGACACAGGCAACGTGCGACAAACTCGAATAGGTTACATGATGGCTCCGGTTGGAAAGAATAGAGACTCTCCGGGCTTCAATAGAAAAGGAGGAAAAGGAAAAGGTCCGGCTGGTCTGAGTCGGAGGCCGCCCCGGCGATGGGACACGCATCAATTCAAGGGAAGCCTCCAGGAGGGTATGAACTTGGCCGCGCTGGACGAGCCAAAGGGGAAAAGATGTTATGGTTTCTCTGCAGGATGGTCTCTTGCTCCCTTTACTTTTTTCCGTCATGCCACGCTAGGTTACATAGGTAGACGATCTTGACCGGTCTCAAAAGAAAGCAGAAACGGGCCAGACTGTGAAATTAAGGACGAGTAACCTGGAAGAAAATATTTCTGTACTATTACTATTGTGGCAAAAAAAAAGTAATATCAATATTTGGGGGATCATTTTATTAATACAAGATTAGCCTATTACAGTGAGTCGGTGATGTTTTGCATCCCAACAAAGAGCAAGAGCCACAAGGTTACATAAAATAGATAATCCCCACTACATTAAAAAAAAAGATTTTACTCATGAGAAAATTAATGAGGGAAAGGACAATAACAGGAAGACAATTATATCCTATTTGAATAGAGACAAATACGATTTGTGTATCATGTTAAAGAAAAAAACTTTACATGGGCTTTACTTTTTCATATGACTCTAGCAGATTTTATTTATAACTTAGCCAGGAGTCCTCAACCCCTTCCGGTCCGCAGCCTGTTGACTACTGGGCTGTACAAGTGGCAGACAAGTGCACAAAGCTCCTTTTGTGCAAGTGGCAGGCAAAACCACCCTCTTCCCCCATGCCCGCCGCTGCCAGTCTGCAGAACCAGAAACTTGGCAACTGCTGACTTAGCTAAAGTTCTAATTGTTAGCTGACATTGAATTAAACAGATAAAGGAGTATGGCAATATGTATCCTTGAGTCTTGTTCCATCTCAAGGTGTACACTTTGTAACCAGTTAATCACTACCAGATACAGATTGGTATAGTAACAGAATTTCAGCTCACAATATCAGATTGGTGAGTACATGTTATGAAAGAAATACCTTAAAAAGTAATTAATCTTTTTGTCCTATATTTTTAGGTCAAGGCTTTGCCATTTGGAGAAAACAAAAAATTCAACGTGCCTACAAAAAGTTACTTAAAAAGGAAAGACATGTGAATCCTCAAAAGAATGTTGAGTACACTGAAGATTATCCAGAACATCTGAAACATCTTTATTTAGCTGAAGAGGAAATGCTTCAGAAACAGCAGAAACCTAAACATAAACCAGTAGTACTTGAAGAAAAGGAGACTCGAACTTCAAAGTAAGAATGCGAGTGTTCTTAGTAGTAAAATGGTTTCTTTATGGTAATGGTATTAAAAATTACAATTGCAACAATAAAAACTAATACAAATTGAAAAATAAAACAAAGCAAAAATAGTGCAGAAAAGAAATAAAAATAGAGATAAACAGAAAAGAGAAAAATAAGACTATAATAAAGAAAAATATATAAAGTAATGACTTCATCATCACAAGTATAAACAATTTTAGTTACTCATCACCTCTTAAAATAAGATAAATGATCTTATTTTCGAATATACCATCTCTTACCTATAAACAAATCGCCCTGTCATTCAGTTCTCATTTCATCAAAAGTGTATTAAGGGTTGGCAGAGGGAACAAAAGCTATTTTAATTTTGACCAAATAATCAACTTTATATTTCCTATCAATCTTTTTCATTCTGAATTTGTAAATGTTGTTTAATATAATCCTAGAGCAGGGGTGTCAAACTGGATTTCACTGAGGGCCACATCAGGGTTGTGTTATACCTTGGGGGGCTGGGGTGGGCATGGCCAGTTCAACATTACACATATTGTGGGGTGCCTTTGGTGGCCCGAGTGCTTAGAAAAGGAAGTATGTAAATCCAGTGACCTTTTAAAAGGTCTGAACTGTGGTTTGAGCAAGATTCCCTCATCTGCCGTGGAAACCTGCTACAGACTGGTGTCTTTGATCTCCTTGCAAGAAGCAATTGCCTAGAGAACTTGTGAGCAATCTCAAGCTCCCAAGAGTCATTGTAAATATTTATAGACCCCTCACATCCCGGACAGACACTGTTTCAACACCTACCCTCAGAACAATGCTATAGAGCACTGCACACCAGAACAACTAGACACAAGAACAGTTTTTTCCCAAACACCATCACTCTGCTAAACAAATAACTCCCTCAACGCTGTCCAACTATTTACAAAGTTCTGCACTATTACTGTTAATCTTCTCATCACTCTTTATCACCCATCCCCTCCCACTTGTGACTGTATGACTAAATTTGTTGCTTGTATCCTTACGATCTATATTGACTGTTTCCTAATATGATTTGATTGCCTATTGTACCCTATGACTATTATTAAGTGTTGTACTTTATGATTCTTGACTCTTGATGAATGTATCTTTTCTTTTATATACACTGAGAACATTTGCACCAAGACAAATTCCTTGTGTGTCCAACCACACTTGGCCAATAAAGAATTCTATTCTGTTCTGTTCTGTTCTGAGCCAGTCTATTTGCTGGCTCTTCATTCCACAATCATTAGCTCTGCTGTTAGCAAGCCATTTTTACTTCACCATTTCTTCCCCAGAGGCCAATGCAGGGGTGGGATTCTCCCTGTTCAGATCCGTTTGGGCAAACCCCAAGCTCCGATGATCAGCTGGCTGCGAACCGGTTCACTCCAACGATCATGTCGGCCCACCCCCCTGCCCCTGTACTCACTTATATCTGCTCAGCTGATTCACACAGCAGAGCGGATTGCCGCGCCTCAGCTATGTTACTTTCCTGAAGTAACATTGAAGGTAACAGATAATCAGAGTTGGAAGGGACCTTGTAGGTCATCTAGTCCAACCCCTTGCCCAAGCAGGAGACACTACACCATTTCTGACAAATGGCAGTCCAATGTCTTCTTGAAAGTCTCAAGTGATGGCGCTCCCACAACTTCCGAGGGAAAGCTGTTCCATTGGTTGATTGTTCTCACTGTCAGAAAGTTTCTCCTTATTTCCAGGTTAAATCTCTCCTTGTTCAGTTTCCATAAGTAATTGTGATAGCTGTGCAGGCGAATGTGCGTATGCGCGCAAAGCACGCGATTAGTGAACTGGTTGTACACTGGGAGAATACCATCCCTGGGCCAATGGTAAAATTATTTCTAGCGCTGTTCCTCAAAAAAGTTACAATGACTAAATAAGGTACTGGGATGAATAATAATAATCCAAGGATCTTCGCCATTCATCTATTCCACAGGTTTTCAGTCACTGAATCAAAGTTCCCAACTGCTTAAAGAATATAGTTCTGCTTAACCAAAAGCATATTTTAATTTCCAGTATTCTTGTTTAACACAGGAGCAATGTGATTCAGAGAAAACTTAAAGCAAAAACTTCAAACCAGAAAGCAAAAGAGGATTATGAAAAAATAAAGGCTGAACGAAATGAGAAAAAAGAAGTATGTACCTTTTAAATAAAGCCATTGGTTTTAGGGCTATATATCTTGGTTTGGTTTTAATTTTTATATAAGTAGTTACTTCCTATATAATAATAATATCAATATTACTGATCTCTTTTGAGTATGTCTTATATAGTCCTAAAAGCATATGTTTCATCAGTATAAGAAAGTTATGTCAACACTTGTATGCTCTGTCATGTGAGCAAAATGAGAAGAGCATTGAGAATGTATGCTGATATGTGCTTTTTTTTGTTATATACAGTATATAGTTGTGAAGATTGATGCAGCATGCGTAATATGAAATCACTCTAAAGGAATGAAAAAGTACATGTCTTAATGATTCTACTTTTTTTTTTCAGGCCGCTAAAAAAAGAAGAGAAGAAAGAGAGAAAGCTCAAAAACTTTACAAACAGAAGAAAATGGAAACATACAAAATATTAAGTAAAAGGACTAGAAAAGGACAACCAAATCTAAATTTACAAATGGAATATCTACTTCAAAAAATAGAGCAAAAAGCATAATGTCATATTGTTTTAAATTATTGACACAAAAATGATAATAACCTGGTTATAGACTTTTTTCTACAATGGCCTTTAAATTTTGTAGCATCAGCTGTTATTAAAGTTTATTAAGTTATAATGAAAATATTTTTGCAAATTGAATTCTACTTGCAAGTCTACTTTTTAAAGTCTACTTTTAAACTTTAAATTACAATTTGAATAGTCTAACTATATTGAATGCTGAATTCTGAGTGCTGGATGGAGAGTTTGGAATGCTGACAGCAGGAAAATTTTGTGTATGTAATTATCTAAGTATAGATAACATTCAACACTGAATTATAATAAATGGTTTAGGAATACCTTCAGCAGCCAGATGCCTGCATGCTGACGTGTTTCTCATATAATAAGGCTGGGTCTTTTTTTTGTCTTTTTTTTTTTTGAGCCCTGAAAAAATGGCTAGGACGTCTTTTCGGGGGTGAATTAATTTCTTCCCCCCCGCGCACCCTCGTTTAGGGTGCCCCATGGGCAGCCATGCCTCGCCACCAGCCACTCCTAACAGCTGATCATGACGGAGGGCTCACTACCCCTGCCAAGCACCTTTGCTGCAGACCTGGGTCAGTGGGTGGGTGGTGTCGGCGTGGATGTCCACTGGCAGCGTTTCAGCCGCTTCTCGGGCCTTCGTAGCTTCCATGGTTCCTGCTGGTGCTGGCGCCTCACTCCAACAGTATCCAAGTTGGTCCCGCTTTTCCCCTGTCCCCACCCCTGCAACAACAGGAAAAAAAAAACATTTTGAGGTACCTGGGGGCGCTGTGCACTGTGTTTTGGTTTAATCCTGAGCGGCTGGTTGGGTGTGAGAAGAGCCAAGCGAGCGTCTCTGTTGCTGCTACCCTTGGTGCTCCAGCCTCGAACTCTGCAAGTTTCCAAAAGTCCCAGTGTACAGCCTGTTCCTGCATTCCAAGTGCGCCCAGGCCAAGCTGCAGCTGTCCCTCTCTCGCCAGTGCAGTCTCCAACAGCGGCAACAGCGACAGGAACCATGGAAACATTTCAGCTGCTTCTCAGGTGGGGGAGCCGCCTCCGTAACTTCCAGTTCCCAGACGCTCAGGACTAAACCAAAACAGCACGCAGCCCTCCCAGGTACCTCAAAGTGTTTTTTTTCCTGTTGTTGCGGGGACGGGGGAAAAGCGGGAGCGTCTCAGATGCTGTTATTGGAGACGGTACTGGTGAGAGAGGCACCAGCACCGGCGGGAACCGTAGAAGCTATGGAGGCCGGAGAAGTGGCTGAAACGCTGCTAGCAGACATCCATGCCAATGCCACCCGCCCGCTGACCCGGGTCTGCAGCAAAGGTGCTTGGCGGGAGTAGGGAGCCCTCCACGCTCCACCATGATGTGCCATTAGGAGCGGCTGATGGCAAGGTATGGTTACCCGCAGGGCACTCCTAAGGGCAAGTTTCCCCCCGCCTTCCCTCCCAATTTCACATGTTTTCAAATAGGCCTAAATTGGGGGGGGGGGCCTTAATTTCATTTTATGCCTAGAGAACATGCTGGGTCTTCCTATGGGGGGGGCTGTATTGTTGGAGAAACACGGTAGTAGGTCAATACTATTATTTCATAAGCAATCTGCAGTTTGCTATACCTAGCAAAAATACCTAGGAGAGGTATTTTTTTAATAATTTGCTCAAGAATTCTGTAACGAATTGCAATAATTTAAGACATATAGTCATGGGGGGAGCGCCCCCTCTGAGTTTTATGGCTTTATGTATCAGGATATAGTGAAAATCATGTGGTCCTTAGCAGTTCTTAAAAGTAGGTAAATACAACCTCAAATGAACACCAACAGCACATGATGGCGAACCTATGGCATGCCTGCCACAGATGGCTCACAGAGCCATTTGTAAGTTGGCAGGCAAACTTACCTCACTGCACATGCATGCGCCTTACAGCTGATTTTTTTGCTAGTTTGAGGCCTTTTTTGGCCTTCCAAAGGCTTGAGGAAGGCTTTGCAGGTTGAAAACTAGCCCTGTTTCATCACTTCACAGTGATGAAATGGGGCTAGTTTTCAGCCTGCAAAGCCTGCAGAAGCCTTCCTCAAGTCTCTGGGAGGCCGAAAAAGGCCTCAAACCAACTGAAAATCAGCTGTGAGGTGCAGTGTGGGTAAGGGTGGTGGTGGGTGGGTGGGGATCGCACGTGCAAGTGTAGGGAGTGTGGGGCCATGCACATTGCCTTCTGGGTGCTGGCACCCAAGTGTGAGCATGCAATTTTTGGCACAGGAGCCCTAAAAGTTTAGCCACCACTGCACTATATCATGTATTTTACAAAAAGAATGCCAGAATGAGAAGCCATGTGTGGAAAACTAAGTGCACTCTTACTGCTTCCATAGTTATGAAGAGGCTAGAGCTGTGATTGCCATTTCCCCCCATCCCTTTGCACTTGAAGGAATTTACTACCAGCTTCGGAACTGTGCATGGCTGCTCATTATTCACACCTGTCATAGCACCAGAACTTTCCTATTCTGAATTGGAAATATACCCAAAACCAAAAGGAAACGTCTCCCTACCCTCTAATTCTCTCAGCCTTTCTTTTGACCAGTCATTCACTTTACCTTAGTCTCTATAAATAACACAGTAGGCTATATGCCATGGTGGGATAGGGATATTATTCTATATAAGATATGGAATGATAGGTTTCAGCCAGTGAGATGAAGTATGTATCAATTGGATTACCTATTTTAACATACCCATCACATCTAGCATTCTGATGTTCTTCTTTGACAATAGTTTTTCTCATGATCTAACAGTGCTAGATCTAAAATATAACCTAATGATATGAGCAAATATAGCATGTCTTGGACTTGCAGAATAAGTTTGATTTAGTGGTTAAGACATCAGGTCTTAACCAGGAGATTGTGAGTTCTAGTCCTGACTTGGGTATGAAAGCTGGTTAGGTGACAGTCTTTCCCAGCTGAACCACTTCACAGTGTAGCTGTGGGAAAACAGGAGGAAGGAGTATTAGCTACAGATAGTCTTGACTTGAAACCATTTGTTTAATGACTTAATTTACAATGGTACTGAGAAAAATTATGATCACTCCTTGTGCTTTCAACCACCACTCCATCCCCAGGATCATGAAAATTCAGACACTTATCAATTGGCATGTATTTACAATGGTTGCAGCATTCTGGGATCACATGATCATTATTTGCAACTTTCTCAGCTGACTTAGACAAAGTCAATAGAAGAAGGTGGATTTACTTAACGGTGATACTCTTAACCATGGCAAAAATGGTTGTAAAATTGGGTGCAACTCACTTAATGACTGTTTCAGTAATAGACATTCTGGACCTATTGTGGTTTTTAGTCACTGACTACCTGCATGTTTGCGGCCGACTTATTTATAAAAATTGCAGTGTTGGGATATGAATAAGTAAATATAAAGAATATAGTTTCTTTAGGTGGAACATTCTGAGTAACAATACATTTGCTTAATTTCTTTTTGTTAATTGCCTCTGACTAATAAGAGAATCAAAAATATCTGCAATGGGAAGCAGTGCTACTACAACTACTATTGCAATGTAACTATACAAGCATTTCAATAAGTTAATCCGTTTTTTATTATGGGACATCTACGCAGGAATCAACTGTGTCCAGGCTTGTTAAATCAAGAAAATAGAACCAGGTTTAGCATACACACATTTAGGATGAAACAACAAAATGTTTCTAAATTCTGAGCCAAGAATTTTACCTAGAGCTCCGCAGAACCCAAAACCCTTTTACACAACAGTCTGTTCCTTCCTAGGCCTAGCTTTCTTTATTTCACCAAATTTAAGAAGATGCATAGATGTTTTTTATCTGTTTTGCTATCCTTCCTAACATGTGCAATGTAAAATACAGTACAAATAAATCAGAAAATTATCCCAGTCCATCAGCATACTGTATCTATACAATACAATAACAACTGCCTATTTTATAGACTTTTTATAAACCTGTGGAATGTGTTAATATTTATTGGCTATAGTATGTAATATGGATTGGCTGAGATGACATGTTAATCTATAAATTTATACTTTAGGGATTGTAATTTCTACTGTTAACTGCCAAATACATAGTTTATGTATTGTGAGTGTGATGTAAAATGACCAAAGCCATTGCTAGATAGTTATTTAATTTAATGATAGTAACACTTCATAAAAATAGTATAAATGTAACACTGTGTTTTACCCCAATGCAGCAGGAGAAAATTGCTTCATCTTACTCCTGTTAAAAATGCTCTTCAATTTTTATCAAGAAAACCCCACTGGATGGAAGTATGGAGCTGAATTTCACCAGGAAAAATGTGTTTGCACTCAGTAGTTCAATAGAACCTATGGAATCAGATAAAAATATTCACCTGTGCTAAAATACAGTATAGGGATTTTTGAGGAGCTTCCATTTAATAAACATGATACATTTTTAAAAGACTGCCTAAAGCGGGTGTATCAAAGAGGCGTTTCTTCTTTAGATGCTTTATGCTGTTAGGGAAATCATTAGAGCTATGCAATGCTTTTGATTTGATGTCAAAAATGTGCTTGGAGCGTGAATGCACAAGTTTTTTTTTAAAGCAGCTACATTTTAAATGAATTCCAGATGAGTGCTATATTTGCACACCCACATGCCCTGAAACATTTTCTAGGAATCATACCTAGAAGCATTCAACAGCCCTCTTAAAGCTAATTTATAGTAACAAAATAATATAGGAAATGATACTGGGAGCGGTTTCCTTGGCAGTTTACTTTAATTCTATTCTGTTTACAGTGATGCATTGTTCTGTTCAAGAAATTGCATAATTATTTTTTTTCATATAGATGCTTTCCAATAATTGAGTCATTTTCATCAACTAATACACCAAACCAAGTGTGTTAGATGATCAATATCTTTGTTGATCAATCATGGAATTCTGTGATTGCCACATTTTTTATTATATTCAAGGCCTGACTAGCCCTTTTAGCAATGGCCTTTTCACAGTAGCCATGGTAAAATAAAGTAACACATGATTGCTGGAGGGCTTAACTGGATAGATAAAATGATGACAACTGCAAAGAGTGAAGAACCGGTGACTACGCTAGTTCTTTAAAAAGTCCCTGGAGAGGAGAGGATGGAAGATCATCAACATGTCCCCTAGATACTGTAGCTGTTTCTTATGAGGACACCACTAATTGTTTTCCTCAATTTGATGCCCCAACATGAAGGGATCAATCCA